CTTGTACATACATACAAATAACAACAATAACAATGCGAATAATAACAAGAGAAGTAATAATAAAAAGGGAAAAAATAATATCACCAAATAAAAGCTAAGCTTGCATGTCGGGCGTTGCGTAAATGTATTAAAGATTATTTTTATATTTTGGTGTGGCGATCATATCACACCACATACGACACAATAACAAAAAAAAAAAAAAACGGAAAAAAACGGAAAAAAAGCGAAAAAAAAACATTGAAAAGTCCCGATGGCTGATGATGGCTTTGGTGTTAAGCTGTCTTGTCCCCAAATGTTTCTGTTATGCTATGCGCAGTATTCAGATTTCTTTTGTCCGCTTGTAATTTGCTGGCCAGTGTGTGTGTGTACGTACATTGTTTGGTATTGCATCAAGAATTGCTTATCTTTATTTTTTCGTCTTTTTTTTCTCTCTCTCTTTTTTTGCCTTTCGCTTTTTTAATCTTTATTTTTATTTATTTATTTTTATTTTTTTTTTTTGGTCATCATGTTTAACATTACAAATGGTTTTCTTTTTTCTTTTGTTTTTTTGTTTTTTTTTTTTCTTTTCTTTATGTTAAATACGACAAAAAGTCAAATGGACAAAAAAAAAAAGAAAAAGAGTTCTTTTTCGTTTTATGTACATACACACGAATACACGCATGCTCATGCATGAGCATTAGCTTTTGTATTTTGATTTCTTGTTGTTGGATCGGTTTCTTTGCGGTTTCTTCATTTGTCTGCAATTTGACAACAGAAGCAGCAACATTTTCTTTTGTACATACTTTCGCTGTTGGGTCTCCATTTATTGTTATCAGGGTATTGTTGTTGCTGTTATGATAATGATGTTTATTGTATATCACAATCGTTTGTAATTGCATACCGTCTGCTAAAGTAGTTAAAATTTTCACTCGACTATTATCACACACACACGTAGCCTGCGGTTTCTTTATGCTTAAATGTAAATTAAGGAGGGGTTACGATAGCAGCTATACACACTATAAACTGGCCACTCAAACTTTGTGTGTATGTGACTCATCGTAAGCAAACTTTATAAACGTATTAACAAAACAATAATTATTAAAGCTGATAAGCAAAATTAGAACAAGTTCAGCGTTTAAAGTCAAATGAAGCAAGATATTATATATTGCAAAAATTAACTTCGATCCTTTACTATTTTATTATTAGATTAATAACAATGACTCTGCATTTTACCCCAAACTTTCTTGCCATATATGATATCAAGAGGGTGTAAAAAGAAGCAAAACCATTACTACGGCAGCTATTTACCTGCTCAAGATATTCTCAAAACAAAAAAAAAAGGGAATGAGAAAGTCTATGTGTACTTGATATCTATTATCCACCCTTAGCAATAATCTAAAGATAACAAATGTAAAAAAAAACTTAGCAAATATGTAATAAAGGCGGAGTGAGTAGGGATCACATAACTTTTAACACTTATTTCACACGACGTTTAAAATTGTTGACATTTTCTTTCATCACCTGAGAATTACTTGCTGCAGTTCAAAGCTTACTCAAATCAATAGGAGTATCAGTAAGGATGTGATACGGTTTCGTCTTAACATCATCTTTAATAGAGATTCATTCTCGGCCGTGCACTAAAAATCTACCCACCAGAACCTTGAAAGCTTTAGTAATTCGCTTAATGCGTTGGGAGCGACCTAGACAATATGGTGTCATGTAAGTGCTACCATCGAACGGACTCTTCAGAGGTCGCATTGCCGACGGTGTACTAAAAGTGTTCAAATCATTTGCACCTAGTGTATTCTTCTCTACTTGTCCAGGCAACTTGTATCTTCTCTACGTTCTCTGCAAACGGCTCCTTTTTTTGCCGATTTTCTGAGACTATGAGGAGAATCTGCGATAGTTACAACCTCATCGATACCTGCATCTAAAGTTTGCAAATTCTTCTGTTAGGCTTCCCTGTTTATCGATCGATGGTATTTTTACAACCATCTTTTAGAGGGGGCTTTAGAATATTTAGATAAAATTTGAAAAGATTGCTTGACAAAAAGTATTGTTCGACTTTAGTCATAATATTTTCAAATTTTTTCAACAACAAGTTGGAAAAGTGTTCGTCGTTTGTAGTAAAACTCCTTTGCTTGTATTATTGTAAAAAGCTAAGCACTGCCCAGACAGATCAGAACAAATGCTAGTCAAAACATTCCCAAGCAGCTTGCTAGTTTGCTTAACGTTATCATTAAAACATGATAGCCAGAAGAAACCTTTTGGTTTATCTTTCCCCTCTGGCGACCATTTTTCTTTTAGTAGCTAATTACAGTAGTTGTTGCTCGTCCTCATTGCATCACCTTTATTCGTTTTTGTAAAAATCACTTAGGCCGCGCATTCACCTATAGGTGTCACACAGTGATATATTCTACTGATTTACCGATGATGAATCTAAACTTTTTATACCTTACATTACTTGTGGCCTGAAGTCATATTAAATTTGTGCGGCTGTATGCAAAACTCAGGAGAACTTGCGATAGACCAATCTTTGGACCGATCCAGAGTCATTGCCTTTCCATCCATTCGTCTTCCCGGATTCTTATCTGTGGGTTAACCTAACCTAGGTAACCTTCTTACTTAGGTTAACCGAAAGAACGAAAAGATATATTGATGTCGAATTTGATGTTTTGGCCCCCCCCAACAACGCTATTGAAAACGGTTGGAATCGGACCACTTTTTCACCCGCTTGCAATATAAAACTTTTTTTTTGAAAAGTCATATGAAGAACTGCATTATGCGACTTAGTGAAAATTATTTACTGGTTGACAGCGTCCCATTTTTGTATTTTAACTTGTTCTATATTATTATTATTATTATTAATTTCGCCAGAGAAATAAATTCTAAGACTAAACTCTTAAGAGCACTAGCATCTAAGGCTATCGGCTTTTATTAAAAACTCTACCGCACTTGAGATTCGAACCCACGACCATTGACATGCTAGTCGACATGCCTCGCCTGAGTAGCCGAAGGCCTTCGTGTTCTATGTTATAAAATCTAAAAATTATTACGCCGTCAGAAGGACAAAACTTATATTTTCATTTCACTTTATTTCAGTTCATCCACGCTGATACACGCAGATATTCAGCAGCAATTAATTGTTTAACAATCTAATTAACATTGCACATATTAAAAGCTTTGGCGTTAGCGGGGGTGATAGAAAAATCAGTCACCTCCGATGCATTAATTTCTTAACATCACAATGAATGCACAGTACGCTTTAGGAGAGATTCTAGACGTTGCTTTTGCTTCCAAGTCTTACCTAAAAAATGACTCTTCTTTAATAGTCTTAGGTCTTAATCACACCATGAACACAAAAACCAAAGAAATTTGGAGTTGACGCCAGAAAGTCGTGAAGGTTCGTCTTTTTGAAAATTTATCGTAGAAACCTCTTTTTTTTATTTGGCTCACTGATAATATTCTAATTGAACTTTGTAAATTTTTAAATATTTACGTTGCCAATGAATAGATTACATACGTAAACATTTAATTTGATATTCTTGATTATTATTATTATTTTTTTTTTTTTTTAGTTTTAGTATTTATTTACGAAGTTGACAGACGATACAGTGATATAAGTTAGAGCTATGTATAACATTCAAGAAAAACGATTTCTGCTGTCAAATTTCAGAAGTCAACATATAGTTTACCATTGAGTTATGGCACCAGTTCAAAGATCAATAAACTTTCTAAGATAAGCGAAATATGCTCATAAATATGCTGTGAAGAGAATTTTTCATACATTTTATAAGTCTTGTATGACCTGCAAACTTTTTTTTGTCCTCATGTCTATTCTTAATTAAAGTTAGTTAATCTATCGAATGGCGTCGAAAGCTTTACAATTTTTCATATACTTTCCAATATATATATACTTTCTATTGACGCATCTTTTTGAGGCTTCTTATAATACATTATCCCTTTCTTATTCTTTTCATATGAAATTCTCTTATTTCATTTTCCCAATTATTTTCGAATTTTTTCTAATATTTGTTGACTGACTTATCGTTCGCATTAGTACTTGACAATGCAATGTAATACAGCGTTTTGCTTGTAATAAAAAAAAAAATAGAAAGAGAAACTTTCTATTGTAGAAAACTACATAGAACCTAAAAAAGAAAGAGAGAGAACGTGAGAGTGAGAGAAGGAGAGAGAATGGCTCTAGTCTTTATGCAAGTCTCTCAATTCTTTAAATGTTAAAAAGCATTCAAACTAACAGAGTCCACGAAGTCTTTCTCTTAAATATTATGTATTTTTCATGGTATATATGTTCCTAGTACTGGATATCTTTCACGAACACAAACACAAACATATCAAAAAACTCTCGTTCGTTCAACAATTGGTTTAACAGCGTGCATGTCTCATGTCAGTGCATTTCATTCTTTCGTATAAATCGTGTGTGGTTGGTTCGTACGCTAAGAGAGCGTGTGTTGATGCTCTCGTGAGGTTTCAAATTTAGTAATGTTTAGTGTTTTTGTATATTTGATGCTCTTTTTTTTTATTTCTTATACTATTAGTACAAATATATTTATATACGATTTTCATTATACGTTCTTTTTTGTGTTGTAGTTGCTTATTGCAATTGTAATTGTGTTAGTTGTTTTGTTAAAGCTGTGTCTGCGTATGGTTAAAAAAAAAAATTGTTTTAATTTTTTTTATATCACATATTTTTTTTGACTGATTGAGTTTCAGTTTCTAAGAATTATTATTGTTGTTGTTAATGCTAGTAAATAATACCGTCGGTTGTGGTGGTGGTCGTGTATGTGCTTTTTGCTCTTATATTATATTATATTATTTTTTTCAATTGTTTACTCTGAGCTCCATGCGTTTGAAACGTTGACGGATGGCTGCTGTTTTTTTTTTTTAACATTCTATACATAGTGCCCGCTTGCCGTTGGCGGTGGTGGTCGGTCGGACGATTTGTGATTGTATTTATTGACGGCGGAGCGGGAGGTTTTCTATGGCCCCTTAATGTTATTATAACTCTTGCTTTCTTTAAATTGTCACTTGTCGTTCACGGCGAAGCGCTTATTTGACGTGATTGTGTGTGTGTGTGTGTGTGCGTGTGTTTGTATTTTAGTGGTCTATATGGACTTAAAAACGACGAGAGTTTGTTTTATATGTGCGATATATGAAAATTTCGCCTCTTTATGTACGTTTGGATCGTTGGGGATGAACGAGGTACATTATTATCAACATACGTGCAAACATGTACGTGAATATAGATGACTATAGATGAATGTCTGTGGTGGTCTGGCGCGCGGCGCGTTTATGGTAAACGTTGTGTTTGCATTTCTGTTGTTCCATTTGTGCTGATGACTGATGTTAAAGTGCTGCTGCTCTGTTGGTTGGATTTTGCTTGTTCGATTGCTTTAATGACTGACTGACTGTTTTGGTTTTGCTTGCTTGCTTGCTTGCCTGCTGATTGTCTGGTTGTTGAATGGTCTGAATGGTTGTTGGGTTTGGCGCTGGCTGCGCACTCTTTTCGAAAATAGTTACAAGATGTTCATCGAAGTGAGTAGAACATCTGAACGGATGATAAAACTATAGTTACGGGAAAGACAACTCTTAATTTTTTTTTTTTTGGCTGGCTGGCTTTAAAGTAAGTGTGTATAAGTGTAATTAACAGAAAATCCCTGTGTGTGAAGTCATCATCATCATCATCATCATCATTATTATCATTGTCGTCGTCGTCGTCGGTTGTCGTTGTCATCTCACAAAGCAACGATGCAACAGTAACAACAACAACAACAACAGGAATAACATTATTATTATTATTATTGTTGTGTTAAAATACTAGCCATCCTCTCGGGTTTGTGTGTCTCTTTGCCGTGTGTGTGTGTTTACGTTCTGCATCTCGTCACTCGTTTAATTCTTCTTTGACTCTGTGTGTTGCTGTCGCTGCTACTGCTGCTGCTATAGCTGCTACGGTTTTCGAGTGTGGAATAAAAAGTGAAAAAAAAGCAAAAACAAAAAATGAATTAAGAATAAGTAGCAACAACAATTTAAGCAGCCTAAGAGTATTTATCTGTAAGAGCTACCGAGAGTATGTGTGTGCGCGTGTTATAATCTTTTAAATGATATTTTCTTGGCGTATATTTTCACCACATTTATTAGAATTCTGTTGTTTTTACTAACGTCGCCTGTGTATGGAGAAGAAATTCTAAACGCGCAATATGCTTAAAAAAAAAATATTTTAAGAAAAACAAATTTTCTTTTCGCAATGAAATAAGGTTTTTCTAATATTAATATAAAAGTACCAAATTGAAAAAAATTTTTAAATATACATATATATATATATATATATATATATATATATACATATATATAACGATTAACGACGTGAAAAATAGTAATATGAATAATCATAAAGAATTAATCTATATATGAAGAATTAAATGAGAAACTTGAAAAAAAAAATAAATAAATAAAAAATAAAGTGAAAAGGTAAATAAAAATAAATTAAGCAAAAAAACTAAAAGAAAACGAACAACAAAAACGATATTTATTTATTACGTAAAACAATGAACCAAAACAACAAAAATAAACTATAAAGTTTTATAAATAAAAAATATATTGTTTAAAAATTCGAAAGAATAGATAAAACTACCAAGAATGTATATGAATAAACAAGTCAAATATGAAGAAGACACTTGCTGATCAATATCTTTAGAAAGAATGGAAAAGAAAACTTCTCAAGAAAATAAAATAATTCGACCTAAGAAAGAAGCTATCTTTGCCTAAAAATACAAAACAGTTCTATTCTTTTTTTCTTTTTTTTTTTTTTTTTGACACTGGAAAACTTGGATCTACTTGAATAGTTGTTGAGAAATTTTCAAAAAAAAAAAATTTTTTTTCTGTGGCTTTTTTCTTAATTTCCCACCTGTAGTGAACAAATGTAATGAATTACAATTTTTTTTTTTTTAATTTATATCGCTTACCTATGCAGGAAATTTCAGCTTTCAGGTAAAACGGCTTAGCATCTCAATTGGAATGACAGACGGACATGCCTGCTCCATACGGGAATCAGGTCTTTTAAGTTTTTGTTTTTACACAGAATTGCGAGCATCTTCCAGGGGACATTAAAAGATATGGCAAAGATATGGTGAATGTGAGAATGTGAGAATATAAGGCAGTGTAAAAGAGTCACGGGTTAAAAACATTAGATTCCATTTTTTTCAAACTAAATCAAACAAAAAGTTCAAAAAATAAAACAGAAATTTTTTAATTCTTTCTTTCCCCTTACAGAAATACTATCAAATAAACGCTAACGGAATATTAAGAAAACTAGTGATTATAAACTCCAAAAAAAAAAAAAAAAAAAAAAAAAACATATTTTCTAAAAAGACAAATTTTTTTAAATAAACTAAATTGTGTTTAATTGATTAAAAAAGACCAAATATACAAAACGTTTTTAGAGAAAATTTTTTATTAAAACAAATTATTATTATTTACACAATTTTAAACAAAACTAAGCAATATTTATATATAAATGAAAACTCAAATGTAAAATTTCAATTTGAAATCAATCCAAACACAAGAATAAAAAATGTTAAACATTGTTTAATTATTTTCAGGAGTTGAAAAGAAAAACATTCTTATTTTCCTTATCGAGCGCATTTCTTTCAAACGTTTAAGAGAAATAATTTCAAATTTTAACAAAACAACAAAAAAAAAAAATAAAATATCAACAAAATATCTAAAAATATTCTTCAAAAAAAAAGTTAACAGCACCTTTAACAAATTCAAATGAAAAAAAAAAGAACAGAAAAAGCCACGAAATCTATTTTAAAAAAGGAAAATTGAAAAGAGCCGAAGAAAAAAAACGGAATTTCTTGTTTTTTTCTTTGTTTGGACGACGTGGTGCTCAGTGCTGGGCCATACACCACAACGCATACAAGACTTCCTAGAGTGCTAAAAATAACAACAACTAGAAAGAGCGCAAAAAAAAAAAAGAAAAAGTTTATTCTATAAAAGAAAATTTTAGACTTTTTATGCTTGTGTAAGGAAACCATTAAAACCAGAAAATAAATAAGAAAAAAATTAATGTTTAGAAAAAAACAAAAAAAAGAAGAAAAAAAAAAAAGAGTGGAAAACTACCACCGAAAATACGATAATAAAAAATAGACAACATTTTACTTTAGCAACATAAAAACTAAGGTGTTAGTGACGAACGAACATACATTTGTACGTTCGGCATATTGTGTTTCGTCTGAAGCGAAAAGCAAAAAAAGAAAAAAGGAAAAATTTTGTTTTTCAACTCTCTTGTGGATATCAAAACTTTTTTTTCGGATATTGTTCTTTTACACCCTACAAAACATTTTATGGATTATTGTTTTCCTGCATTTCCTATAAGCTCTCGTTGTACTCTGACAGCAGCATTAAAACCACGGTGAGTAGTTTTTTTCTTTCATTTTAAGTTTATTACTCATTACTAAAGAATTCTTCATTCATATATATATATATATATATTACGTACTAGTTCTTTTTTTTTTTTTTGGTTTTCTTGCTTTGTCTTTTCTTGCATTAGAACTTTAATAATAAATCTTTTACAACATTTTCTGGAGGGTTATCTCTACTTTTCATCTTTATTATCATTCTTGTTGTTGGTGGTAATGGTTTCATTGTAGTGGTGATTGTGTAAGCTTAAGAATTCTTAATATTGTCTGCGAGTTCTATAAAACAAGAACAACAACAACAACAATAATAATAATAATAAAGAATAAAAACTTTATGGTATTTCTTGTACAATTCACACTTATCTCTACTTACTCTCTGTCGTTTTGCCTCTCATCCCCCCTCCCACACTGTCTCTCTTTCTCTCTCTCTCTCTCTCGCACTCTCTCTCTCTCTCCTTCACTCTCCCTTACATCCTCTCCCATGCATTGTATGTATTTTCTTTTCAAATTTCAACGCGATAATGTCTTCATTGTGTGACAATAACCTTTTAAAAAAAAATAATAATAATAATGTATACGCGCTCTTATTATACCCAAAACACGAACATAAGAGTATTCTAGCTTGTACCGACCTTTTGTAACAGAGAAATGCATTAGAAATGTAATCATCAAACTGATACGATTCTAAATCATTCATTTGGTTAGTTTGATCTATCTAACCTACCAATAAAAAAAAGGTACAGATGAAGATCTTAAATATGCTCTTAGTAATTGTCCGGTGGCCGAATAGCTTTGGGTTTTATTATATATATGTTAGTGCAAAATTATTAAACGTAAATACAGAGACAAAACTCTAATGCCGTTATTGTCAATACAATGAATGGAATCTAAAGTTTCACATTTAGGGGATGTTAGATTGTCGCTCCAATTTGCGTGTACCCATTTCCGTATTCCAGGTACAACAACAAAGTATACATGCTTACTATCTCAATTTTATTGCGACAATGTGGTGTTTAAAAGTAAATGGACAGACAGAGGGACAAAACTTAGTACACTCAAAATATCACAATATATCTTACATATATATGATATGTATATATATACTATTAATGACATTATATATATACCGTACATATATATGTATCATGTATGTATGTATATGTATACCATGTCTAGATCATATATATCATACATATATATGTACACCTTTGAGTTTAAGTTCTATTGTCGGTCTGTACGTCCACGTACGTCTTTGAACGCATTGTCGCAATAAATGGGATGGAAAGTTAAAAAAATCTAACAATGCGTGTCTAACAACATGCGCGAGAAGCATCAGAATTTTCAATATGCTTCCCCTAATAATTCATAGCGGATATGAAGCGCGTTCAACTTATCAATGAGCAATTAGGTGCAGCTCAGATGGGTATACAAGATTCGCTCTAAATGACTTTAGATTGTTTGCTTGGTTTTTATTCTTTTCTTTTTTTTTTTTCTTCTTTTTTATAAACATTTTCTTGTGCGCTATTGATAAAAATAAAATTAACTAATACCTAAAGTTTATTTCTTGTTCATAAGTTCATTGAATTATGAAAGCGTGAGAAAAATTGACAATAAAAGTATAACAAAAAAGTTTAAAAAATAATTTTATGCTTTAAATGACATAAATTCTACTTTATTGGCGTAAAGATTAATTTTTACGAAAAGTTTCAATCGAAACATTTACTCCAAAATTTATGAATGGCTTCCCGCGATATTTCTTCTTCTTCTTATACTTTATAAAAACGTTTGATGTTCTCACAAACTTTTTTTTTTTTTTTTTTTTTTTTTTTTCTCTAGTTTTCTCTTTTATTAAATTTATTTTCTTTTATGACAGAAAAATGAACCTTTAAGTAACTATCCATTGGCTAGAGAATCTCTTAGTTTACGACTTATGGTAAACTTTAGCAATTATTTGTCAAACATATTCGCCGGAAATTTGTTTAGTTTTACAACAAATAAGCTTTTAACGATTTAATGATAATGACAATTCCATTAAAGAGCAGAAAGAGCGGAAACTACAAACAATGCGGTGCGGATGGATCTCGAACACACTCCAGAGAGTACTAGTCGTACCTTTGATACTCCAGATTTACGGGGCCCCTTTATAGGAATGACCTTTGTTCCCACGAAAATGACCTTATGGAACACAGAACGTAGCATAGTGTTAACTTTTTCTGCAGCTGTGTCATTGGTTCAATAATTTCACAAATTTGAGAAATTTAAGCCAGGAATTAACTTTTATTCAGAGATTTTGATTTTCGCACGCAGGCTTATACACTGAGCTATGATGGCCATTTAAGTGATATACACTTTTACATGTAACAGATGATCCAATAAGGTCTTAGGATCACATATAGGTGTCGCCACTATTGATGAATCAATATGATTTTTAAAATGAGTCGAATAAATTTCCTACTCTTGAAGGAGATTAAGTAATGGATCAAAGTTGAACTTCGGGTAACATTTTTTTTTAATAAAATACTTGAAAAAATTGATTGTCAATTTTTCAATATATGTTATAGATATATATATATATATATATATATATATGTATACGTACATTAAGTGGTCGCATAGTAAATGCTAAAAAACAATCCGGCTACGTGCAGCTATTCATATCTTTTCCTATCGTATGCTTACAAAGTGTTTTCATTTCATTTCATTATGTGAAACGCACTATTTCTTTATGGCTTGTAAAAATTTTTAAGAACTTTTCCATAATTCGATAAATAAAAGCAATCAAGAAAAGTAAGAGCGCACAACTAAACTAAACTAAAAACACAACAACACAACGAAATTGCTTACAAAATTAAAAGTACATCTAGGATTAATTTAGTTTTATGCTCTGAGTGATTTCAGTTTCAACGAAATCGTTCAAATGAAGGAAAGCAGATAAAGCGAAGCAACGCCTTATTTAAATTGAAAAGTTATTAAACCCATTAACTGTCAAACGACTTTAAATGATTTATAATTCTACCATAAATTCTTCTTATTTTTCGATTTCTCTATATTTTCATTGTATGCCGAAAGCTTTTCTGTTTTATCTTAATTATGTATGTGATTAAATTTAAACAACAGCAATGACAACAACAATCATCGTCAGAGAGAGAAGAAAGTCACTGTGTTCGCACTGTGTTGCAGGCATACTTTTTTCGTAACTGTTTGCAGCTATGAATTCCATTAAAACTGTCATAATTAATCCGATAAATCTCTGTGCATGCACACGTGCATGTGCGTGTGAGTGTGCGCATTTGCTTGAAAATATATATTTCCTATATTCTATTGAAAAGCTCATCCATCATCACGAATATTAAACGATATTCATAACACGTTGTGTTGTGTTATATAAAAATGCACATATATGACGCATCTAACTATAACAAGTTAAGTAATTGCATGAGGCTTAAAGCGTATCTTGAATACTCCCCGTCTCCTTCACGCCAAACTTACAAACGTAGTATTAATTGCCAATTCGTGATTTGATCGATCAGTCTATAGGACTCTACGCTGAACGCTTGTATTAGATCCAACTACCATCTACTATGGGCTATAAGATGCTTAAGAACTTTTTTTTTTTTTTAATGTGATCAATCCCTCAGGGGATATTCCCCGACGCATGAAACACGTTGATGGACTGAAAAGGTCGAGAAAAGAGAAAACAATAAATAGGGAGTGGCGGCCGACTACCACACTAAGATTTGATCGCACGAACACCAACTTACTAGTCGCGACTCTTATGTCTTCGACTATGCGGCAGAAAAAATCTTCTTTATTGGGAAGCGGATGTTACGCGCCATTTTTTGCTTGACCTAGAGAATTAAAATAAATTTTGAGCGTTGAGACAAGCACAAGGGATAAAGTCAGATGACTTCTGAAATATGGACTATGGAAAATCACTTGTGTTCTTAGGTTTGATTGAGAAATTGCATAATTTCGTCGTTTTGTTTGTATATATACCGGATCGTACAAATCGAGCAACAAAATTAATATCTGCATCTTTCGCTACTGCTTATATAAACTTACGCAAAAAACCGGTGATATAAAATTTTCATATATACAACTATATATGCAAACATACATCGAAACTTTTTTTTCAAAGCTAAAAGGATTTATTGTTGAGTTTTTTAAAGCATTTTTTATAAACCAACAAATAATAGGTAAAGTTTTAGTAAAACATATATATAAAATATGCACGTATAAATATGCAACAGAGCATATTAAGGACATTTTATGCATACACATACCTAGGAGAA